GACCGTCACATTATAACGCCCCCACGGCTGAGAGGGCGAACATGTTTGGTGGAACGGGATTCGAACCCGCGACCGCAGATTGCGAGTCGAGCGCCCTAACCACCTGGCCATGCCGGGCCATCTGATAAATGAATCAGTAATAGAACTGTAAGAAAAGAACAATAACTTATACAAAAATTGTAATGTACGAGTTGTAACGTCCAAATATTTCCTTGAAATAGAAGAGGCAAAGGTTGATTGATTTGTAGTTAGCACAAAGCTACACAATGGGCTATCTGTGCTCTGCCCACCACGGGTATCGAAACCCGGTTTCTAGTGTTGTAAGTCCGCAGACATACCGCTGTGCCACTGAAGGAATGAAAAGGTTTTAAATTCGGATTTCTAAATTTTAATATTTATATTAAAATCATAATTTTTAGTTAAAAACATTTTTCACTTACTGGATAACATACTGTTACGTCTCCGTTTGTTAGTTGATTTTCCGTAACTTCTTTCCGACGAAACTTTAGCGACACAAGTCCTTACTTAATAAAACTGGTTTATTCTTTCCGAATATAACTTTACCGATACACTTATTTTCAACAGTCTCTATAACAAATGCTATAACAACGAACGTTAACTTCAACAATACTTTCTGACTGCAGTTCAATTACTCACTACCTACACACATTGTTGTCCGTCACGTTGTGAGCGTCTTATATATATATATATACCAGACTAACATATATCTAGTAAATGCTAGGGCATTCACGAAGGAACAGGATAATTTCTAGAAACGTGGCGTGACACTAGTCACGTGACCTCGCTGACGCAACAACGCTATAAAACGTGAAATGTGAGTAAACCAAACTTTAAAGAGGTCAGAGTCAGGATCTAATTGAATCGACCTGTATATGAAAGAGCCATGTTTAACAAAAGAGAAAGAGAAACAATGAGTAATGAGTATGCAACCCCTTCCTCTTGAGACTGACACAGTTTCTGCTTCTAAAAGATATTCTATAGCTCAATCGGCGAATGTTTTCAAAGGGACTCCTGTTCTATTTTTCAATTTCTGACATCAAGATGAGGCTTAAGGTGGTTCCGAGGTGTTCATTGGGAATTTAGATCTGGACATGACCTGTAGAATTTCTTATTAATAATATCCGATATAAACAAGCTAATTGCATAGCACAGAATCAGTAGTTCATGACAATCCTGGCAGTATGACACAAAGTAATATCCAACATCGGAACAAAATTTCTTCCGAAAACAAATTTACAACGGGGCCGTATGATCGATTAGTGTTCACCCATTTCCTAATATTAATATGAAAAAAGTAAATGTAATTCAAGCGCTCAACGAACTGGAAATGGCCAATCCTGAAGACGAAATAGGAGTAAGTTGTCTTTTCAGAACAGGAAGCATGTTCAAAATGAGACGAAAAAGCATTGCATTCTCACAGAAAGACGTAAAATATGCACATAAATAATGACATATTAATTTTTGGAACTAGAATTCAGCTGTAGTTTTCAGCTTTAATTTGTAATGTGTTTTTTTAAGGTGTTATATGGTTGTACATGAAATATATATAATTGTTAATGAGAAGTATAAACGAAAAGGACTTTATCATATATTCAAATGTTTTGATTACACATCTAAAAAACTTTAATACGACTAAATACCATCATTCAAAGAACTGCAGATATGCAAATGATGCTGATACATACCAAATGATTTGAAGAAATATATTTGACAAGGCTGCTTGATGATTCTGTCAAAAGCTAAGACAACGGAAGACTGATCGTCATATGACTGAAAATTAGTATCTGAAGAACTTGTAACAAGCTCCTGATCTGGTTTTCTGAGCAAAGAGGATGGCGAACTCGTAATTGTCAGAGGTTCGGTTGTGTAGTGGAGTTTCAGTTTCATGTGTTGTCCCACCTAAAGAATGATCAAAACAGAATACAGTTTAGTACATATCTAAGTTTTAAGACTTGCAAATCCAAAACTATTGTCACCATCATGAGCGATGCATTTTTCTTATTGTACACCTTTGATACGTAGAAGGTTGTTTGTTATTAAGCACAAAGCTACACAAAGGGCTAACTGTGCTCTGCCCACGACGGGTATCGAAATCCGGTTTCTAGTGTTATAAGTCCGCAGACATACCGCTGTGCACGTAGAAGGTTTATTATTATTATTGCTAAGTTGTTGACGTAGAAGGGAATGGTAATTATAAATGTCGGGACGAAACACAGCCAATAAAGAAAAACTATTGTAAAATTAGAAAATAACACACATTTCGAAACAATTTATAAACTGGTCGGTAGAGTATATTCCCCAGATGACTATTATTTATGTTTCGTTATATGATCAAAGACAAACTAACTGATCATTACAAACTAAAATATTCCAATTCTATAGTGGACAAGTTTTATAACGTTAAAATTTGGAGTTCAGTAGGCAGAATACAGATGGCACAATAATAAACAAACCTTTCATTTCTACCCTTGTTTTAGTAATATATATTTGTATACACCTGATGAAGGCAGACCAATGTTCTATCGAAACATGCAGCATGTTTCACCATCAATAAAAAAATCTTCCTTATTCTTACAGATCGTTGTTTGCCAACCGATTATTATATTAGCATAATGTTCTCCCTTACTCAAATGTATAAACTGTGTTTTCTACTTACGAATTACACATGAATATAAACAAATAAAATTAGTGTTAAAAGAGAATAAAAGCTTGGTTTTTGAGAAAAGTTTTGGGGTTGTAACTTATTTGTACTCGAACTAATAATATTCAACCAGTACCTTTTCGCACGTGCAAGCTCTAACAGCTTTTTTTTTCTTTGGTAACTCACCTCATAAACTCCCTCTTTGGTTACCGAGAAGCAAACTGTTGTTTGTAATTTTGATCCTTCCCTACAAAAACCCAAGCTTGAAAGAGGTTTGTGGCATATTAGAGTCCTGCTTTCTTGTACTTTATTACCTGTATCATAATACAAGGGCAAATGTGTAAACTCAACAAAACAGATATTGCTTCAAAGTGTATGTACGTCATACAGAAAAAGTGATATATATATATATTGTATATATGGAAGATTTTATGTTACCGGAGTATTATAAATAAATGCCTCCACCCTACCCACACACAGGCAGAGATATAATTATGTCTATCCAAAGGAAAATAAGTTTCCTCACCAAGGAATATTACCTTGATTATCAGGAGCGGGTCAAGGGCTTAAAACTACCCATTTTTTAAAATTTAGGGGAAAGCCTCCCTAATTCTAGGAAGATATGAATATCTTGATGCATAAAAGAAGCCCTTAAAGTTATGGAAATCTCATGTTTTTTATTAATGTTGAACTGAATTGGTATTCTACATTATAATAATCAATTAAATATTCCATGGGAAAAATTACCATATACTTTGAAATTAATTTCATAGAAAATCAAACAAAATCGTTAGTTTAAATCTATAAGATAGTCGAAGTCAATTTGAATATAAGTTAAATAATAAAACGAAGATCAACATTTTTACTTACACACAAACATGTATTTGTAAAATAAAAAAATTAAAATATACGAAGTTAAAAGAAACTTAAAACTCTACATGTTTCGGTGTAAATAATTACATCAGCTTCAGCAGAATCCATCAAGAAGTACACATAACACTGTCAGATAATAGACTTTGGACAGTTTTCCGAATTCTAAGTTTCTGTGATCAACAAAACATCCCAAAATTTATGTAGATTACTTATTCTAAAGTATAAAGATCACGAAGTGATTAGGGAATATTAGTGAATAGGATGAAATATTGTCAGATTTATGGGAACAAAAGTTACCTAAACAGAAAGATAGGACCATCTGGCGTAAAACGTTTTGTTCTGAACTGTGACAACAAAAATGCAATTTTCACTTTTTCCTATACAGCATGTGTTCACACGTCACTTGCGTGCTTTGAAAGGATTAACATACTTATGATTTGGTATATTTAATATGTCTTTAAACTTTCACTAAAGGCGTTAATTAGGTTTTGAACTTTCCTGTACGTGATTTCACTGATGTGTTATTAAATTTTCTGAAGAATTAGACACAGAATAACTAAGTAATGAAGTAACAACGTGTATTATATGCTACCTTAATATCACAGTTTTAATGCCGAAGTTGGCGATGCATTGGAAACCAATAAATTTAACATTTGTGATCCAAATCACTTTTAGGTTCACATTTTTGTTTTACGTTCCACATCACGAGTATTAGACCTATTATATAATTTACCTATATTGACTGAAAATTTAAATTTAGACTTTCAGTTTATTTCATTTCATATTTAAGAAAAATATGATTACATTTTGTAAGTAGCATTAAAGTTAATTAAAACATTTTTGGGAGTCATTTTATTATAGAATGGGAATTGAATACATAAGTTTCAAGAAAAATATACATTTCTTACTTAAGACATTGGTAAACTACATCACATGAAAGAAACAAATTTCTATGACGTGGATATACTGGTTATTTTTCTTACTTTGATTGATTGGTAATGAGGAGTGTGTAGCCTGAGTCGGTGAATCCCACACAATATATACTGCTAGGAAATCTTGAAGGCGATTGGTAACGGTGTATTTCACCTCACAACTACACACAGAAACATAAGATGTAGTTAATAAATAAAAACCTTTGTGGTTTCACAGATGAAATGCTGGGAACAACAATATTTCCAAAAGTATAGTGAAGTTGGAGTAAGTATATATTCGCAATAAACGAAGGACTGGGATAACTCATTTTATTCTACTCCTAAGCATGATTTATTTTCCGTGATTGACTGATAGTACATAATGTGCTATGAAACATTTGAACTATTGCCTTGAAACGCTGGTCACCAGGTGGCATGACTGTTGCCTAGTTGTCAAGGCCGTTGCCATGCATGTATGACGTCGCGCAAATACAGCTAGTTTTGGCAGCAGCACTTTGCAGACGACAGTTTTTTTTTTCAGCACAGATTGTTTGTTTGTAGTTTAAGCACAAAGCTACACAAAATTATCTGTGCTCTGCCCAATACGGGTATCGAAACCCAGTTTCTATCATTGTAAGTCCGCAGACATACTGCTGTGCCACTGGGGGGGGGTATACTATGTGACAGCGCTGATTAATCAGATATTTGTAAAATATAAACACAGAAATAAAATAAAACAATTATTGACTGGTTATTTCGAGCAACAGATTATTTGTTGGCCCTAACGAGTGAGAGATGGCCAGCATATATTGCCCTCGGGAAACAAATAATCGGCTTGCAATCTGCGGGTCGCGGGTTTGAATCTCCGTCACACCAAACATGCTCGCCCTTTCAGCCGTGAGGGCGTTATAATGTGACAGTCAATTCCACTATTCGTATTAAAAGAGTAACCCAAGAGTTGGCGGTGGGTGGTGATGACTAGCTGCCTTCCCTCAAGTCTTACACTGCTAAATTAGGGATGGCTAGCGCAGATAGCCCTCGTGTAGCTTTGCGCGAAATTCAAAACAAACAAACAAACAGTGACCCCCCAAAAAAAAACAAAAAAAAAACAAACACATACACACACACACACAAAAAACAACAGACTTTCGCATCCATGCGTCAGCTACTGGAACTTTAAAATTCATCGTTGTTTCAAATATAATAGTGGTTACTGTTCTTGGTCAAGCTAATTTTAAGATATATAGAGAACGAGTAGAAATTATGGTTTCTATAAAAAGGACCAATTAAAGTTGATACATCAGAAAATGTTTGAGACTTTATATCTAAACCCTTACTTGTCTTGTAGTAGTGGTTTGGTTATTTAGTTGTATTCTGATAACGATAAACAAATATGAACCTTACTAGAGAATAAGTACAAAACCCAATCCATCATTCAATTCACCACAGTTTCGATGACAACTATAAACACCATGCATATAACGTGCACCTCATCATTGTAAGAAGCCTAATCTTGTTCTTTTAATTTGTGGTTGTCCAGGGTTACTGGTGGGGGGTGGGTGGAATTCCCCAAGAGGAGAATGGTGGTGAATCGAATGATAGACTGGGCTTCATTTTACCGTATTTTTCGGAATATAAGACGCACCGGTGTATAAGACACACCCTTACTTTGAAGACAAAGTTTTGGGGGGAAAAAAGCTACAGTCGCATTTGAAAGATTTTTATTGAACAAAAATTCAATTTGATACTTTGAAAATTAGTATATATTGTTCTAAACACAAAAGAGTTCAAAACATCAAAATAAGAAAATACCGTAAATCAAAAAAAGGTTTACTGTTAGTTAGTTTGGTTCAAAACCTACAAAATCTTCATTGCTTTCACTGTAATTTTTTTTTTATTTATTTAGGGAGCATTATAAATAGTT